GATTTAAAATCTAACTTTTTCTACCATTGCTGTGCGGTAACGTTTCCACAATTTAAATACTCCTGCTCTTCTCATATTTACCAATTTTTTAGTAATTAATACATTTTTTTTTTTTCAAATCTCAAACTTGAGTTATACCCGAAATTAAACTGCTATTTAAGTGCTATATTGTTTTTGTTTTATTAAATTTAAATTAATTTTTTTCCTCTAGTTTTGCTTGCGCATTCCTTGTTTGGTAGTTCATTATTTGTTTGTTTATATTTTTTTGTTTTTGTTTTTAGCTGTTTGTTTTCCTTTCTTTTTTTTTTGTTTAGTGGTTTATTCTTTTTAGGTTCTAGCCTCATTTATCTACATAATTTGAAAATTTCGTAAATCTCTATTTTAGTTTATTTATTTTTTGCTTTGTTTTTTCTAGCTCTCCTAAATGTGTTATTGTTTACGAGTTTTTAAAATTTTATAAACTTCATACATACATGCATACGTTACATACAATTACAACAAAACGACAAAATTCGCCTGACTCACATTAGCAACTACTGCTTGATACCGTTCTATACACAGTTTGGTTTGTTTTATCTATTCCTTTTGTAGACATTTCATTTGCAATTTTATGGTACAATTTTTATTTTAAAATTACTAAATATGTTTTTCACAATTTTTTGTTTACTAGTCTAACTGCAAATTTTTTGTTAGTATGTCTGTTTGTATTATATGCGTTATTCGCACTTATTCATTTAATGAGTACTAATTTTCATATACATATACATATGCATACTAGGGTGGCCCTTAAAAATATCAGCATCTACGTTTTGCATGGAGCATCCCTTTATTTTATGTTACGTTCAAAATAAATACAACCACGAAAATTACAAAATTAAAAAAATAATTTAGGGGTCGCACGCGCTGTTTTCGTTTGGGTTTGAAAAAATTTAATTATGTTAAATTGAAAAAATTCGACAAAATTTTGACTTGAAATCTGATAAGTTTTTTTAATGTTTTCAGACTCTAATAGTGACCCTTAAATATTTTTTAAAAATTTTGACATTTTCGCGGAAGTCTTTATTTTGTAGGTAGAACAAGATAAAGAACTGGCCCATGATGTTTGTAAATTAAGAACCCCCCTAATGCTAAAAAGCTTCAATTTCCAGTTTTACATTATGTTGCTTTTTTATATTACAAGTATTTATTATTCTTATTTATTTTTTTACTACTTCACTTTTTAAATTAATTTTTGTGTTTTTTTTCTATTTATATATTTATTTTTTAATTTGTTTGTATTTTACTTATTTCTTTGGCAGTTCTTTTCCAATAGTACAAATTTTTAAGTTTACAATATTTTTTTTACTTAAAGTCTAATTACCTAGCTGAACTTTTTATTAGCGTTTAAAGTAAATCGTTTCCAATATACACATTATATTTATTATTATACCTTTTTATTACATAATTCTTTAGCTGAGATGTATACGAATTTGAATGAAGTTCTAATGAATTTTGTGATGTAAACTTTTTGTCAGTAGATATATCATATTTATTTTTTTATAATTCCTCAATTAAGTTTTACCACTATTTATAATTATATAACATTTATGAATTTGTCTCAAAGTTATCTATCTTCAAATATGTACCTAAGAATGTAAATTTTTACAGTAATGATATTTTACCTATTTTCATAGTCGCCATTTGTTTTTGTAGTTACAAATACAAATTTAGCACAATAACGCATTTGGGTGTTGTAACATACACACACACATATGTAGATATGTATATGCCATGCCCAATCTATACACTTTTACTTGTACTTGCTTATATGCATATGGTAGTGTGTTCTAGAGGAGAATGTTTGTCCAATTAGAAAAATTTCTAAAATGATTTTATTTACAGTATTTACAAGACATATGTACGCGTTTTTGTTTAGGTATAGTATTTTTGTGTTTCATTAACTAAAAATAATTAAAAATCGTTTAGTGTTATGTAGTGAATCGATTGATATTTATGTATGCACCAGGAGTAATCGAGTGCTGTGTTGGTGCTCGGCTGTTTTGGTGCTCGGCTGATTTACGAGTGCTTCGATAATCGCGAGAACTGTTTTGTATGGCAGTGTTAGATCTCATTGAAGCAAATGTGCATCTTTGTCTGTATGTGTGTGTAATATTCTTGCCCTTTGCTTTCAAAAACACATCTATCGTTTTTTTTTCTAATTTTATATATGTATGTTTGTGCATGCATATTTATGTATACAGGGGGGGGGGGGGGGTCCCAGACCACCCGTTCAGCCTTCTAAAATGGAGGGCTATGTTTTTCTTATTAGAAAACGAAAAAATATGGCCTACCGAGTCGGGCATGCTCTATTTTCTGATCGTATTACGGTTTTGACCGAAAGTGGGCTAAAATTACCGGAACCCCAAGATTTGTGGACAAAAATACGAAACTTTTGTTTGAAACTTTTTACTCGAAAGTGTCTTTTTCCTAAATGATCTTAGAATTTAAATTCATTCTGGACTTTTAAAACTAACGGAGCTATTTTTATTGGGAAAAGAAAAAAATATGATTTACTAAGTCGGGGATGCTCTATCCTTTCGTCATATCACCCACTTCCGGTCTCGACTGAAAGTACATTAAACTCACCGGAAGTCCATTTGTTTAAATGGGATATGCATAATTTTATCACTGATTCGGATTCTGCGTACAAAAATGGGTAACTTTTTTCGGAAACTTTTTTTGCGGTCACAACCGGAATGTGGTAATATGACCAAAAGATCCGCAATGGACATTTTCCTCCATTTCAAAAGTGTAGGATGAGTCGAAGTTTGAAGGTTATTTACAGGTTGTAAAAGGCACTTCCGAGAAAAAGTTTTAATCAAAATTCACATATTTTTGTTCGCAGAATTCCAACTATAGTAAACAGTTGTAATTCTCATTAAAAAAAAGAACTTTCTCACCGCAACTAAGCCAATTTCCAGTCGAAACGACAAGTTGGTGATGCGACCAAAAGATATAGCATCTATCCAATAAAAATCATTTTCGTCCATTGCACAAGTGTGGATGGGTGGTCTAGGATACCCTGTATATTATACATACATACCTACATACATATGTAAGTACGAAGCAAGAAAGCACAAAAAGAGTGCGTTTTATTGTTATTTACTCACAAAAAGTGTCTAAGGATCTGAGGATCTAGATATAGATTGCACGCGATTTTCAGAAGACCATTACCTCAAAATTAGCTATTCGACGGCAGCACCCTAAATAACCATATCTATATCTGATCACTTGCTAATCTAATGAAATTTGCAAATCAACAATCAGCGTCTTAGATGGGTTCTCTCTATTACTTACCAACATTACACAAGATACCGACTCATACCACGAGTGAAATGTTCTGTAGGTCATTGCGCTTATTAAGAACCGACTGGAATGTGAAATTTGACTTGACTGCGTGGAACTACATATAAATTGTACACTGTGGGTTCCCAAGATTGAGCGCCAACTTTGTGCTGTCATTTTCTCAGATCCTGTAATTCTGCCTCCCACAAAAACCATTTGTAAGGAACCTTAGCCTGATCACCTTTATAAGAGCAGAAATTGATTGTTTTTTTCGAGGTAAACTGTTTGGGAATAACCCATCTCGGGCCATGTGGAACTGCAGGAGAATTTAGGATCGGAAATGGGCTCTGAACTCAAAGGCAACAGATTGACTTCATCGCATTATTGTCCGTCCGATTGCGGATTATGTTTCAGTAGTACTAAAACTGGCTTTCTGGCGCCATCCATGTTAAAAACATCTGCTTTGGCTAAATGAATTCCTATATAAATAGTAGACCGGTATTAAACATTGAATTGTATTTGATAGCTGAACACTTTTTTGCAAGGATGATAGCACCATGCAACAGAAAAAAAGATTGAAAAATATTTCAACGGCGAAGGGACGATTTCCTTCAAATTTGTCAACGAGCTGGTAACTTTAAATAAAAACTGGTAACGTACTAGTTATCTTATCGCACCCAGTCGTCTTTGTTTGCATAACCCTGGAAAGTTATGCTTATTTTGCAACATTTCTTGAGAAATTTTTTGAAAGCTATGTGAACATATTTTAAAAAATTACATGTATATAAAATGACTACCGCATATGAAGTTTCAGTAAAAAAATTACAAAGAAACAGTTGAGCACCTATTGTACATTGGGAACAAGAAAATCGCCTAGGTAAGGTTTTTGTTTTCCCGAGCATATATTTAGTACCTTGGCTTGGATTTTCTCTTGGCCTGAATACAACTTTATCCAAAAGTAGTATGCTTTATACTCTCTATCCCTTGATTGACGCTCGTTTGGTATCTATAGAAATTGTAAAATTAGATTTGATAAACTAGAACTCTCCGAGAATATTATTTAAATAATTAAAGAAAGCATAGCTACATATATGTGCCAATAGTGCCACTAATCTGAAAAATTCCTTTTATTTCATTTTGAAATACTAAAACACGGTATGTGGGCAAATCTCGCGAGTTTTACTGTCGGCAATAAAGCGAAAGCATTCTTCTTGAAAATATTTCGATCAATGGAGCTCCAGAAACAAGTACAATGGAAAATAAATCAAGTATTTTGAATAATTTTTTTTTTAAATTTTAAAGCATGTATTGAGGGAAAAAGGTACCGAAATTACTTATTTTTTCATTGTAAGTCGGAAAAATTATAATTGTTGTTTTTTTAATAACTTTTAGAAGTTTTCAAACAGAATGTTTATATTATAGAAAATGGACGTCGGCATCAAATATAACATATCTGTGAAGTTTCAAAAGTGTGCCACATGCAGCATGCAGAATATCTGTCGCAGCTTTTTTGTAATTTTTGAAATTTTAAGTTTTTTAATTTTAATAATTTAATAGCCGGTTTCACCAGTAATTTAAATGAAAAATGATTTTTTTGTTTTATGTCAATTTCCATATAAAATTCAAAAATTTAAAATCATTTTTCACTTAAATTACTTTCGTGAAATTGGCTGTAATACAAAACTGATAAGATAGGTGTACCACCACTTTCGGCCAAAAACAAGTTTTTGTCGAAAAATGTAACAACTCGTGAGGTTTGCTCATATGTATATGCTGCACTTGATTCTGGAAACTTCGGTCGAAAATGTCATAAATGTATGTTGTTTCCAAAAATAAATTACCCGGTCTTTATGTAAAAAGCCCATTTCAAAAATAAAAGTTTTTTGGGGCTTTTAATAATTTAATGAAAACAAAACTCTATGCCCAATTATTTCTTTCATAAGTAGTTTCAATTAAATGGTGCTACTCATATGGTGAAATAAAAGAAAATTAAAAATTTTACAAAGCTAGTCAACATAACTTCCTCTCAAAAATTTTATTAGAGTTTCAAGGCAACGCTGCATCAAAAGCAGCGCACATAAGCACTAAGCTATTCCAACTTTCTTGAGTTCTGCTCTTAGTGTATGCGTTTATTGGCGAGTGTGGGTGTGTGTGTGAAGTTTTACTTATATTACACTGTTTGAGCTTTAAAATCATGTGACAGCTAGCTAAATACTTGGATCCCGAAAGTCCCTAATACACTGAATGGAAAGTATATACATCTGTTTATATGTACCAAAATGTACAAATGCATATGTTAGGTGCACATGAGCCTGAAATAGGTATTGGCGAGTTTTCAAATAGACGATAATTTAGCTGCCCGATCAGCATGCCGATCATTGGCCTTAGCAGCATCTGAAGTGGAAGCATGTGGCTTACAGCAACCACCATCAGCCACCCCAGCACCACTAATATTACCACCAATTTGAGCAGCAGCAGCAGCAGCTTCGCCATCTGCATCCGACTCAATCAAATTGTCATTTTCATTATTCTTGTCATTGCTGTCAACTGCTTCATCTTCATCATCATCGTCATCGTCATCATCATCATCATCATCGTCGCCATCTTCAGCGCTATCCACTTGCATGCATGGCTGATGACGCCGTGCAGGTGGCGTTTGTGTGGCCATATTCAAATGTCGTGACCACGAATATTTTGCGGAATCCACCTCAGTTGTGGCAATCATAGTGGAAACTTTAGCTTCGATTTGTGTTCTTGCTGTATTTGCTGCTGTTGTTGTTATCGCTGCTCCTGTTTATGTAGTATTGATGTTGTTGTTAACACATACATACATACATACATATATAAGGATGAAGAATTGTGGCTGATTTTGTTGTTGTTGTGTGAGTTTGACTTAACTTATTTTTATAAAAGCAAAAAAGATTTTTTGTTGGGTGAAAAAAGTAAACATTCATTTAACTAACATTTAGAATTTCAAAATTTATTAAAAGCTCAACACTAATTCTAAAGTATATCAGAGACTGTCTATGCTAGAATGAATACTTGAGAAATATTAACATCAAACCATAAAGCCGACTAAAATTCTTGAATCTCTAAAAAATATTAGGTTCATCCTATCTTAAATCCAAGTAGACCTTTGAAGATTTTTAGTGTTAGAATAGATATTAGAAATTTTTCTCAAATTGCCGTTTGAAAATTCAGACAATCTTCTGTTCCTTGGTCATATCACAACAAAAGTTTGACTTTAGTTCTGATAAATTCGGTATTATCTCAATATGGCCCATGGATGTGTTATATACGTCCAAAGGATACAAGAACCTTGCAACCTGACTTGTGGCAATTGCACGGACTTGGATTCGAAGGCTACCGTTGAATAGTTTTCCGCTATATGGCCGCTAGCAGAGGTCGCCCAAATGACTTTTACAAACGCTAACATAAATTGTTTCAGAGTGCGGTTGTCTCGCTCAGTCCTGCAGGTTTGAACGCGATTTCAAAGAGGTTAAAATTTTTTAATCGCTTGCCACCAGGTTGTCCTACCCCTATAATATACGAGGCATGGCTAAATAATTAATTTAAAGAGACTTTCTTTGGATGAAGCAAAGCTATTAAAGTCCTAATGGCGTGCAAGGGTCAGTCATGTAAATCCTGGGATAATAGCCCCAAGACCCTAAGATAGCTGCATACCACGCAAGTACAACCACCTACGGTTCGGTTGCCTGGGTTTAAAGAACTACCCTGACCACGGAGAGGTAATCGCTTACCAAGCTCCAAAGACTGTGACAGCCCTTCTAAGATGCATTAAAGCAGTATAAATGATTATTCGCAGTCACATTGCATATCCGTAGCGAACTGTAGGGATACCGACAGGCTAAGGAAAGTCTTATCCAAAAAAACACATCAATCCCCGTATTATTAAAGGAAAGGACGGTGTATGTACAAACATAGCGGAGGAATAACTAGAAGCTCTCATCAGCACACACTTTCCTGGCTGCGCTCAGAGGCCAAAAGAGTTTCCTGACTTAAAGACAAAGAAAAAATTAAATTACCTATAAATAAATTCTTACCATTCAAATCACCTGGACCAGACGGTATAGTACCGTTAACGCTATAGAAATTGCAGGAGCCCGTGGTATCCCGACAAGAGTGGGTCTGCAAAGGCAGTATCATCTTGACTTACAACCCACATAGCTAACAAAGAGTCAAAGTTGTCTTCATTCCTAAACTGGAAAGAAGAAATCACGAAAAACCTAAAGACTTTAGACCAATAAGTTTTACGTCCTTCCTGCTAAAGGCATTGCAAACACTGTTAGACTTACACACTAAAGGCATATTCTAGGAAACTTTAAAAGTTTAAATTGCGTAAATCAAGGGCGGTTCAACTGATACTGACCTTCATGAAGTTGTGGCCGCCAAAGAAGAATCAATCCATTATAAGCAAACTTTCTCGACATAGAGGGCCCTCCAACAATACTACAATCGAAACAGTTGTTTAATCCCTTGTAAACTTGGATATATCTGGACACATAAGCAAGTGGATCGCACAGATGCTTAAAAACAGAATCATAATTTCAACCACTGATTCTGCAACACTGTCCCGTTATGCAAATAGAGGCACTCCCCAAGTGGGAGTTCTGTCTCAGCTACTGTAGGTTGTGACATTAAACGACACTCTACAGGAGGTGGAGTTAAGGTAATACCATATGCATATAATACGATTAGCCAATCATTGACGAAGATTTGCTCAGGCTCCACACCAGGGCCACAAAAAGTGGCCTAGGGGCAACCCAAACAAAACTGAACTGATGCTGTTTACTGTGGTTCTGCATATTAAACTCCACATCCACGAAATTTCTTAAATTAAGTTTCCTCCTAGACCGCATTGAATTAGGGGCAGGATAGTCAAGGGGAATTCCATTGAAATCTATAATGTTGGGTCCAAGATGGACTGCGGCGTTGGGGCGTGGTATTTTCCGAGCATGAAAAATCGTTGGTGAGAAACTGCGTAGAAGTACGAAAAGACAAACAAAGTCTAAAACAGCCAGAGATGACTAATGCGCATTAAGCTCGTCGTCCGAGTCTCTCTGCTTCGGGTTCCCGGCGGTAGGCACATTCATGAGAATGAGAGGGCTGATGTGTTGGCTAAGGTCGGAGCATCTCCGAAGCGGAGACAATAAACTTTGCACCTGGACTCATGAATTTGCATTTGCAATTTTCCCGAGTGGCTGATACACGCTGGAAAACACTTGAAACCAGTAAAACTGCAATGAATATATGACAGCATTATGACATATAAGGAAGAAGGAAAATGGTCTTACATTACCTTTTAGAGACGCCTAAGGCATGACAAACTAGGGAGATTCTACGTCCAAAATATTACGGTGATCTCCAAAAGCTCAGTTACTAACATAAATAGATTCATCGACAAGTCCAAGTGGTTTAACGAATCATAAAAGCTGATAAAAAAGTGTTGTCAAGAGTAGAGCGCTAAGTAGATAGTTGACGGCGTAGATACCTCATACTAATATCTACACAGATATCAAGCAAAAACTGAATTCACAACAAGAAAACTTTGATAAGCGGAAAACTAAAAAAGGAGCTGCGAGCTCCTTTGGTCTAACAATGAAATATAAAATACTTTCTGAAAGACATATAGTCTATATGGTGCTTGTGACTGAAGATGGAACAATGTCAAAACCGGTTTGTCTGCAAACCAAACTTGACAAGGGATGACAGAAATGCGTTCCAAAATAAATCACTTTGTGATTCTTTCGCAACTTTTTGTAGTTTTGCATTTGGTCGTCTGGAGGACACAACACAACACAAACTATCGCATTTTTATTCTTCGAAAACTTTCCTAGGTTTATTAAGATAACATATATTATTAGACATAGGTTGCCGCTTTTTGGTTACAATTTATTTTTTACAGTCTCTGATATTATTTAAATCAGAAGTAACCTAATATTACACAACTATTTATAGAAATATTTGTGCTATTTTCGACAGTCATACACACACATACACATGTATACATAGTAGTTGTTAAAATCATTCAAATTTCGAATAATGACAGTAACGAGAATGGTAGCCATGACGATTTCTAAACATTGACATTGATGGCGATAGTGATGCGGACGCAGATGATGATGATGACTTTGTTGATGGTAATGACAAAAGGCCAATGCAATGCAATCCGAAATGAAAACATTGTTGCAAGCGGAAATTGAAAATGTTGCCAGATTGTTGTTGTTGGTTGTTTTCCCACAGCAATGCAAAGAGAGAAATATAACACCAACTGGTTTGGTAGTAGTGGGTGGTTGTGATGCATACACCTACATAGATACACATACAAATATTTGTACAATTATGGGCAAGTGTACATGTGTATAAATGTATATACATATAAAGCTTTGGTCAAACTATTTTCTGAATATAAAATTGAATGAGAGATAGACATGCGATGCGTTTCGAGGCATACATACACACACAAATAAAATAGTTTTCCTGTTTTAAAATCGATTGAGCAGCTGACGGTTGCTAATGTATCTACATACATACAAAGTTGATGATGTGGTGCAAGCAAGTAAGTAAGTACAATGTTGCTAGATGGCTCCACTCCACCGGTGCCAGTTGTACATTGTACATAAAATATGGTTGGGGTAGTGTAAATTTTGCAGTGCTAGTAGTGCGTATGTAGTTGTATTGATTGTGTTCCATGTGTGTTTAACGATAATTTTAACATTTAACGACAACAACAATGCGAGTCATGTAAAACATGATATGTACATCATACCGATCGACTGATGGGGCAGCTCGCTCCCGTGTTATATGATACTTTCACGATTACGTTCCATCTCTTCGGTTTCGTTTTCGGGATCGAGACTCGATGTCGATGAGACACCACATATTTGCATTTCAATTTCGGCTAATCGATTTTCTAAATCCCATTGTTGTTGTGATAGCTTCGTATTAAGCGCTTGATTCTCCGATTCGACGGTGTGTAGTCGTTCACGCAGGCGCTTAATTTCATCTTCTAAGGCTTCATGTGAACCGAGTAATGGCGTTGTGCCGCCGCCACCGATGCCACCGCTGGCAACAGACAGACCGCCGCCATACTCCAAATGCGAACTGGAGTCGCAGATATGTCCTGAATGAGCGCAACATTTAAATTAATGGAAAGAGAGAGGTAATAAAAGATAGAATAATTAAATGTTTGATTAAAGTATTTCCACTGATAAAGGTCACATTTGCATGTATGTGTACATGTGTATTTGAACCGAGGTATGTATGTAGATGCTGCGTGAAAACAGAAATTCGTATTCAAAAATATTAAAATAGAAAGACAAATAATCGCAAAATCTTATTAGAAAATTTTAAATAAAAAGAAGTAAAAAATCTAAGTTCGGCCGGAGCTGAATATTAGATACCCAGCGCAAGTATTAAAAATAGTTTTTTCGCCTTTCCGAAAACTGCCGTTACTTGGTAAGCAGGGGTGGTTTTATCCCTATTTCAAATATCTTCGATAGAATGTTCAGTTAGACATAATTAGATAAACTTATATAGTCATATGTGGACGGCATCACACCCATTTTCCAAAATTCCATAATAATGTTACTTTTTTCAAGGGACTGTTGTTAGTATCAATTTTGGGTAAATTAGAGTTCTTAAATTTCGAAATATCGAAGTTTCAAGCATTTCTGAAATTTACCGTTACAGGAAAAGTGGGCTTAATTCTAGTCCGATTTAAATTATTTTCAATGTTTTTCTTTTATGTGGCAAGCACAATATCACATGTGCATAGACGGACAGACAGTCACCACTTAATCGATTTATTTTTTCATTCTGATCATTTATGTATACATTTCTCTATAACTATGTTTTTCAATTCGTTTTGCCTGTTATAAACAACCGTTATGCGAACAAAGTTATAATACCCTTGTGCCCATGTGCGCTAGGGTATAAAAAAAAAATTCAAAAGCAAAGATAATACTTAAAAAACTTATGAAATGATATGCGGTGAATTAAAAAAAAAAAAACACCAAATCCATGAATTCAACCCATATTCGGCGGCTGGTCGATTTTTCGACCATCAATTTGACACCTCATTTCTCTAGAGTTAAGTCTTATTTTTAACCGACATCCAAAAACGGAGGAGGTTATAAGTTCGTCGGAATATTTTTTTTTAAGGTATGTTACCGTATAACTTTGGACCACGGCAACCGATTCTGATAATTCTTTTTGCATCGGAAAGGTAGTATCTGAGGGGTGTTCCCATACTAATCTGGTTGGATCATGAGATATATATATATATATTTTTTTTATATGAGAATTGAAGTCGGTTTTGAGTTGCTTTTTTGTTTTGGATTCGATACAGCACGTCAATCTGCCGTTTCAACCTTACAGAGTTTTATCACTCATTATTTTAGTATGTTGTCTCACAAGCGCAAGTTTATCTCAGCAGTTCCTCCCTGCATCGCCACTTACTCAAAATTTCAGGTCGCTAGGCCAACGAAGTTTACTTATTACCTTTGTATGAGTTCTACCCATCGTTTCGTGCACTGCTGATCGATATTTCGTGACTGACAAAGATATTTGGACATGCCAATATTTTCGATACTAGGTACACGACCTTTCTCAAATGATCTTCTAAGGCCTCGTTTGAATCGCTCCACCATGTCATCTGCTTGGAAATAAAGTATAGTTGTTTCCTTTGGAACACCGCTGGTTAAAAATTTCTTCTATGATCAAAGTGCAGTTTTATAGGTTCAGCGTATCCGCGACTTCCGCTACAGTTTTAGCTTTCTATTTTATAATCGGTTATACCTCCGGCCATTTCCTGTAGTAGTCTATAACCGACATGCTCGTAGGAATATGGCCGGTTACATCCACGGCAACCCGATCGAATGCCGGGTGTAAAATTGTCTTGTCATCTGGTCCTGACTTCTGGATTTCGGTTCTTTTGCCTACCAAACAAATATAACTTCCGCTTGATTTTCTCTAGTGCCCTCCACTGGTGTCATACCGGAATTCCTTGAGTACGTCCAGAATTCTTACCATTGCTGTTCCACTGTGCCCATTTGCTACAAAAATTGTTAACATACGTGACGGATGTCGACTAGCGGTCGATTTTTCAACCAGTTCATATCAAGAAAAGGACTGGTCAAACCCAACATATAAATTTTTTTTGGTACTTTTCTTTTTGTTTAGAATCCTGAAACCACCACTTTAAAAAAAAAATGAAGATGGGGGCCGAATATGGATTGATATTAAAAGATTGCAGCTAATTAAGATTTAATAAAAAATAATATTTTAAGCCGAAATTTTCCTTTACCATTATGAAATTATTTTAATAACGGAAATTCTAGTACATACCTGTTCGACTCGGTTGCGATTGTGGCCGCGTCGAGTGATGCGATGTTGCGCGACTTCGCGGTCGATCATCCGAACTATGCGCACTGGGGCTAACCGAACCGGGTGAATCGGTGGCGCGGGTGATGCGTTCCGTATAGGTGAGTGTAGAGCGGGGACTTTGAGCACGACTGTAATATTTATACATTAAACAATATTAGAAAACTATTATTAACTTATAACACATTCTTATATGAATGATTTTAGTAAAACAGTGTTAATTGAAAGGTAAGATCCTAAATCCATAAAAAGGTCTTAAATTGGTACCCTCGTAGTACGGATAGTTATTTCTTTCGTTAATAGGCAAATTCTGACAACTATCTTGAAAGCTCTCTTCTGTATTTTGACAGACTAGTTGCACGTTCTGCGAGCGAGGAGTTCTTAGCGTTATTCTGCTTGTAGTTTAGCAATAAAAAAATGAAGGGAGCACTTTGACTTAGTGGTATAGTTCAATTTACATATATATAAAATATTTTTATAAAAATTAAATGACTTAATAAAAATATTTTTCTATTTAAAAAAATAAAATCTAGTAATTGGAAAAAAAATTTTATAAAAAAATACAAAATAATAATAAAAATTTAAAGAAAAAATAAATAAATTAATTAAAAGAAGAAGAAAATATCATTAGGAATAAACAAAAACCCCTTGCCCGAGAATTAGAACCGCGGATCACTCGATTATGAAAAAATTGAGTGATTTCTGTCAAAAGAGCTTTTCACCATTGCCTTACAAAAAACTTTCAACCGTCTTAGCCAGAATTGCCGTCTAAAGCTCGCATTTTCTCGATCAAATAAAATGCATTGAAACTAAGCTAAATGCATATATGTAGTTATCAGCCTGCAATACTATAGTTATACATAAGAACCTACCTGTAAGATACACTTTGTTGCTGCTGCTGCTGAAGTGCGAAAGACAATGCAGTCGGTGGCGGCAGCCACATGTCCTCTAACGTTGTGCGTCCGCAACTCTCCACTAAGCCGGGTGTCGATTGGCAGCGTCCCATGGCAACTACATTAAAGTATTTTACTATATTGTCAAATACAATATACGTAATAAATAATAAATAAGTAAGATACGAATCAATTTTTCGGGTAGGAAGCATATGGTGTGTGGATAAATTTTTCAATTAACTAACGAACTAAATAAACGAACTAATTGATAATGCATATACAAATTGTAATTGTACTGCTTATATTAATAACTTATTTAAAAATTGTTTACTAAAAACTGTAACGTAAACTTTTTAAATTGAAGCAAATTCTGTAAATTAAGTAACTAAATAAACGAACTAATTGATAATGCATATACAAATTGTAATTGTATTGCTTATATTAATAACTTATTTAAAAATTGTTTACTAAAAACTGTAACGTAAACTTTTTAAATTGAAGCAAATTCTGTAAATTAAGGCAATCGCTTTGGTTGGTGTTTATCTATTTCATTTTAGTTTTTCTCATTTCCCTATTTACTCCACATACCTTTTTCTAGTGGCGCCTTCTTGTATTTTTCCAAACGCTTTACCGCTATCGATTCCAGTCGCACTCGCGCCGTCGGATACTCCTTTAAGACGTCCCACATATCCTTTTTGCTCAGCACAAAGAGATCACTATAGCCGACCGAGCGTACTGAGGCCGTGCGGCGATTGCCTTTATTTTATATTGAAACATTTTTTTTAAATACAAGAAGGTTGAACAATTAATGGCTGTAGATTAGCAGAGAAACTAAATGCGTATGTTGATGTATGTAACGTGCAAAAAGAAAAAGAAAATGCCAAAAAAAAAAACATGGTCTGCTTCTGAGGGATGTGTGCGTGTGCGTAAATCAGGTGTGAGAGTGTGCGAAGGTAAAGTGATTAGACATTTTTTTGGAAGAGAAATTTCATTTGGTTAAATGTACATAAGTATTTATGATTAACGTTTTGCTATTAAGTACTTCAATTTACGGACTAAGAAAGTGTAAAAAATAAAATAGAACGCAAAGTAAGCTTTTGACTAAACCAGCAGGCCTTAGCTAGCTGCCTGAAATCGTGTATCGAGGAAATACCTGCTGCCCAAAAAATTCAACACGGCGATTTACTATTCAGCCAACTTAATTTAAAATTTGTTTTTTTTTTTCTTCCGCGTAGATACTTGGCCCAAAAGGCAACCAAGATAAAATTTGCTTTAAGATAAAGTCTTCGCGATTCTTAAAGCACATTTAAACCGAATATATCAGTGGGGATTTCCCGAAATTAGATTATGGCAGGCGAAATACATTCAGTTATTTCATCTGTGTTAGTCCATGACCGGGAAACCTGGACTGTAATAAAAACGTGCAGTGGGGCAGTGCCTGCGTCCAGCGTAGGACGTAAAAATGGGGAACGTGTCAACTGACACGAATTATTTTATGGTATTTGCGTGTTAAAGAAAACTCACCACCGCATAGTGTACTTTTTTAGATGTGTAAGTGATCAATAATATGTAAATTTTAAACGGGTTTAAATTTTTCGCGTTTTTTTTTTTGCGTGGTTAAGTAGCAAGTTGTCTACAGTGTTGCCAGAGAAAAATTTCCCTTGGAACTAAAACGGTCGAAAAAAGAGCTAAAAAGAACTAAATAATACTAATAGTAGCTAAAATGAAGAGCTACACATTTTTGTTAAGGTTGAGCATTTATTGACGAAAGGTTGTTCTTAAATTTTCGGCAATTTAAAAAAAAACAACGAATTTTATAAGTTTAAGCGCTGAAAAAATCTTTTAAATCCAAAATAAGGTGCATATATTTCGAAATCGTTGACATGGCACTTATAATAGTGAACCAAAAATACTTTACAAACTGTTAAAGGCTGTAATTTCAGATATTTGAATTGAATAATTTTTTCGCAAAATTTTTCTGGAAAGTTTTACTACCAGCTCTCCTTAAAGGTAAAACTAGTAAGGTAAAACGAAATCGGCACTATCATAAAAATTAATTAATTTTTGAATTCTTTAACCTAGATCCAAGAGTTATTGGTGGATACACTGCATCTCGAAATTTTCCATTTTATCAACGCTTAAGTTTTGGCTTATATATACCAAATACAACTAAAACTTTTCTGAGCTAAAAAATGCTACATAAATTTGAAAAGAGCTAAAAAAAAGTGCTAGGAGCTAAAACCCGATTTTCGGGGATAAATAGAAAAATAAAGAGCTAAATCTAGCCCCAAAAGCATCAAAATGGCAACACTGGTTGTCTGTCGATAGCCATAACACAAAATATAAATATGCTATAATTTCACCTTGAAAAGTTATATCAAATTTAAAAAATAAAACAAAATACGTATATATATATTGCCAGTTCTTTTAGATTATTAAGAAGCATATCGGTTTATTTTATTTTTTGTATGTAACTATTATAAGCAGTAAAAAATAAACAAAAGTAAAAATCGACTTTTTAAACTGACCCGAAGAAGAATTTTAAATGATACCTACAATTTTCATTGAACCATCAAGATCTTCGAAAATCTATTTTTTTTTTTGCAACGCGAAGTTGTATTTGGCTATCGTTATCTTAATGAAAATTATTGCTAAAATTTAAATTTTAAATTATTTTTTAAATTCTAGCGTCCAAAGATACCAACAACACTTTCATTAAATCAGCATTATTTATGATCCAATTCTCACAGATTCGTGTTTAATTTTTTGAAGGCAAAGTTAACGCATTTTTTGTCTGAAATTATACGATTTTTTACTTTAAAGCCTTTTTAAGGGTAAAAAATGTAGCAAATAAACCTTTTATTATCAGCACAAAAATGAATGAACTTAGATTAATAAAAATTTAAGAAAAAGCCAACTTTAAATAAACGATCTTTCAAACAAAAACAAAATTTATAAAATATCTTTTGCCCTTTATGAACACTACGTCTCCAAAGTTGAAAAATGTTCATCATTGACAGAGCGAAACTAAAAGCAGTTTTAAAGAATTCAGAGTTTTTATATTTAGGTCATTATTACAATAAAAAATATTTTATAAAATTTTTTTATGTTTGTACCTATTTTTGATCATTCATAACTACTTTAATATTTTTATGCTGCTGGAGTTCTAAGGGATAATTTTTCTGAATCTTCTAATAAACTTCATTTAATTTAAAGTCGTAGAACAAAATTTTTGCACAAACTACTTATACAAGCCCCTCTTCGTGAGCCCAAATAATAAAGTAACTATACATAAATTTGGTATTTTGTGTATTTGTAAATATTAATTAATAATTTCGTATTTATTTGTTGCAATCAATTTAAGCAATTTGATATGCAAATTACTGCAGTTTTTATGTGCAATATTTTTTTGCTATGTGGGGATACAGAAAAAGGGGTAATTGTGTATAATTTACTACATTATTTTTGCATTAAAAAAATAGGGCAATGTCATAAGTAAATCTGTATTATTTTTTAAAATTAATTTGTTGGTTTAATATTACAATTATTTGCATTTTTTTTGGTAACTCTAATGTGTTTTTTTTTTTTAATGTAATTGGTTGATAAACAAATTAAAATTATTTCATTGCCTGATAAATTTCGCATTCAGTTTCATAATGAAATGTTTTCTGTGTTGGTATGTATTGTACTATATGAAAAATAATTGGTGATGTAGAAAAAAAAAATATGAAAAACATTAATGCACACTTATGAAATCTATGGAAAAAGTGCTCTAAAATGCAGTAAACTAAATGCAAAAAAAAAAGCAGTTAATGTTTATGGTAGCATAAAAAAAGTGTAGGTGCACAAAAAAAAACTTATTGTTTTTGGAATGTACATATGCAACTAATTAAAAAGTAAATGGGGATAAATGTTGGAAAAACAGTTCAGTTACTGCCAGGCAAAGCAATACAACGAGGAAGATCAACGCTAATAAAATATGCAGTATAACTGGAATACTATTAGTGTTGGATGTTTTTTTGTTTTGTTTTATATTTTCATTTCTTTTGTTTGCATAATGACCACGCAGCGTTGAAAAGGAAATTCGCTGAACGCTATTATTACGTACGTATGTATGTATTTGTTTGTACCTGGTATGTTTTGTTTAAGTGCAGTTTGCTTGAATGAATGCTTGGGCATTGTATTACTGGCGGATAAAAATTATAAATATTAGTAATAATAAACATTTGGAATATGCACAGCTGCCTGGTTATTGGGTTAACTGGTTATGTGGTTACATTTTAAACTCAGTTTTCAAAAACAAAATACACCTGAGAATAATAATTTTTAACTAGATAACCTGACAGCCAGGCAGGTGTGAATACCCCCATTGTTTGTTTTTTCCAAAATGCGTAGAAATATTTTGTGCTGGGTTGATTATACATAAATTTAATCACACAGGATGTACATTTGTAAAATTTAGTATAGGTTAAAAAGGAACACATACAATACACATCGGCCGGGGAGATATGGATCTTGGGCACTACGGTGTATTTGGCTATAAATACATTTCTAAGTGAGTATTCACTTCCTCCTGGTGACTCGGTTATGTGGTAACGTTTTTTTTATATTCAGTTTACAACAATGTAATAATCATGAGAACAATAATCCTTAAAGTCCATTTAATAATTAGGAGGCCGTGAATACCTTCTAAGCGTACATACGATTAAGTGCAATGACATAGATCAAATCATGTTATTACATTAACCAAAAGGTAAATATATTTCACATAAAATAATAAAAATAAAACAGAATTTTAAGTTTTTTTTTAACATAATTGGCATTGAACTATAAGCAAAAAAATTAGACACAAAAATTTCTAATTAAAAAAAGCTAAGTTTTTGTTTGTAGTTTTTGTTATTATTTATGTTAGTAGTAACTTTTCTGTTCTTATGTAATAATATGTTTTTTTTCTCTCATATTCACAGTTTTATTAAACATAAAAAAATATAGCCACTTAAAGAATTTAATTTATTAAATTTTTTTATTAAAACTTATGTTTATTTTTCACAACACAACCCAACTTTTATAGAGTGCACACCTAGTAATGAAAATAATACTGAAATTTAACACCGTGTGACAAAAACAAAAAAATTTCAAAACACACGAAAGAATCGATACACTCGCGAAACTATGGGCCAAATACAGTAAAACTGCGTTTTTAATTTTTCACTCTGATGTGAGGATTTTTTTCAATGGACTTTGAAATTTTAAAGATATGATTAATTCAAAAAATTATTTAAAATATCAGTGCAATGTAGTGTTATTCTATATGGGTACCAAATGAGAGAGAAAATTCTGTAGGATTCAAAAACAATAAAGTTTTTTGGTTTACAAGGACGAAGAGGTATTGAAAATGCGCTTTAATAAATTTTAGCTTTTTAAGTTAATAGAGACGAAATTCGATGAGGTCGGGCGTATATTAGACCTGAAAACAAAATTTTTTTCCAAAAACAAAGATTGCAAATTTTCAATGATATTTAAGCACAAAATTTGTAAAGCTCATTTCCGATACCCATTCGTCCTTATGCACCAAAAAATTTATTTTGTGTTCTGTGCTCTACAGAATTATTTCATTTATTTGATACCCCTATTGTTATCCTACACTGCACCGAATTTTTTAAATAATTTTTTGAAATCATCTTATTTTTTAAAATAAAAGTCTTTTAAGAAAATCCTGACGTCAGAGAGAAAAACTAAGTACGCAGTTTTACTGTAATTTACCCATAGTTTTGCAAATTTATTAATTTTTTTGTGTGCAAAATTTACTGTCGCACGGTGTAATAGTAATTCAGGTAGTACGTAAAAGTGCCAAGTTACTATTGCGCAGCTTAACTATTTTTAGTTGGGCCCCCTGGAATTATTTAATGTCATAAAACTAATATTTTCCCTTAAAATGGAATTTCGGAATTCGAATTCGAATTTAGAAATTTAATTATAGAGTAACTATGAGGGTTAAACTATCAAATTAGTTCTGAGTGTAAAAATCCATAGTTGAGCCGTTGTGATTTGGCTAACTATGCACTCTGATATCTACCTTTATTCTAATAACTAATATTTTTTTTATAAGGACTCCTATTATTTTTCACAACATACAACCAAATTGACCATAAAACATAGTCTTTTGTGGGACGTTTTCTTTAATTATGACACATTTAGTCATAATAATTAAGTCTTGAAAACCTCTGCAATTTAAAACTTACACACATTCTACCCGTTACTCATACGCCCTGTATAACAAAGAGGTCACATTAAAAAATTGCGTACAACTGCGCAAACGTGTCAAAAAATTTTGGAAATAATATTTGAAATATTAATTACTCGTAAGTTACAGATCAAAATTTTTGTACCAAGTAAAATAATTTAAATTTAATTAATTTAACTTTTGTGAAAGTATTAGCAAATTTAAGTACATCTAAAATTTCTGAGGCGTTGTTTACGTTTACTTGAAAATTGTTGAAATCGGTAAATCCTAAGTAGCGGTTTTTGGAACGTGCCACATTTGTTCGCTACATCGTGGTGTGATAAAAAGAAAAGCTGGCAGCACTCCACAAGGTTGCAGAAATCTCTTGAAATATGTTCGAAAAATATATTGATATGGAAAAAACTGCTTTACACTGTCAAGGAAGAAAACTCAATGCAGTTTTTAGCAACTTCAAAATTAAATTTGTATGACATTTCCAGACTTTTTTGTCTCAGTTTCAGTTTTGCTACCGCCGCGAGTTGCTTTGGTGTGCGCATAGTTATTTAAAAATATAAAGTTTGATGCCAACCGGGGTTTCCCAGCGGATATATAATTCATGTGAATTATAATTTGAAAGTATCTATTAAGCCTAGGAAAAAGCAAAGCAGTATACTTAAACCAGCACTTTCAGCAGATATTCACCTGGGTTTTCGCACGACTATTCCTGTTTCATCGTAACTATTAATGTAAATATGTATGTATTTTTTGTGCTTAATATATGCAAATAAAAGAAGAAAGTAAACACATCCACCATCGAGTAAATTTTTATTTGTGTCAAACTGAAAATTTGTTTCCAATAATAAACGGTTAGCTGATTCACGTCTACAGCAAGTCAACAACTAACAATATTGTCCAATCAAGGTAGTCGTTTTGTAATTATTAACTAAGCTTGGAGCGATTCTGCACAACTGGAGGTCTCTTGCATTCAATGCAGCCTTTTCCGAATGAGCTGCGCTTAATCTCGTATGAGGGATTCATTGTAATAAATACGGTCACAACGTCAACATCCCGAAGGAAAGTGAGTTCCCTCTAACCAACGACTTCTGAGTTTACTTCGCCCGCAAGCTACTTTACAGCTGTACTATCTTTGTAACGGTGCGATAAAAATACACAACTTTTATTTTAAAAATCACCACATTTTTATTTCAAGCTAAAATAATCAAATATTAAGTAAGTAGTTCAATTGTTTTCAACAGCAGATGATCAGTTATGTATGTAATAGCTACGCACTCGAGATTCACTATAGTCCTTCATCAGAAACTCTCATCGAAATTAATCTCTATATTCAAGCGACGATATTTTTTGGTTGTGTCAGCGCATTTCGTCGTAATAGTATTACGAACATCACGCTCCTTACAATTAGTTCTCTCCTTCACGCAGTGAATGATATCAGCTATATTCAGTGCATCCAGTTTGCCTTTGGGCGGACGCTCGCGACCACGAAATGCTGGCGAGGGCTTACCACTGAGTGTATGGGTGGCAAGAATATCGTCTGTAAAAATGAGTGGTAATAGAGTGCGCGTAGCCATGCCTGGTGAGTCCCAAGATATTTTGTCAAATGCCGACTTTAAAACGAGCGTGCCATTTGGGCCAATAGGCACGTATTCAGCGGGTAAATCGCTACGGTGTTCTTGCTTTATTGCAGTCTGATTTAAAAGCGATGGAACTGAGACATTGCTATATTGGCTAGAGGAGAGTTGTTCTGGTCTAGCTGTGTAGCCGTTATTCAAGGCTTCAGCTGCTAAAAATGTAGCCTCACTGTCGTTCGCTGCTGTTGCAGGTGGCACTACATAGTTGCCCATAGGCTGTGGTGCTGCAGCTAAAACATTGCCTTGTTGTTGTACAGTAGCTGCTGCTGGATGCATGTGTTGTGGTGGATTTTCGCTTACTCTTTTCTTAGCGGGTAAATGTGGATTTTTACTTTCGTTTGCGATGCAGCCTTCCCAATGTTCTCTTTGGCGGAGTATATCAAACATTCTAGTTAAAACAAATTTCTTTGCATCTAAGGTTGTTTGTATCACTTCGTCATCGTATAGCTTCGCCTGGTTTGTATTCATTTCGTCCAGCATTGGATAAACTATAGGAAGTAACTGCATTGGCGCCTCTATTCGCGATAACGTATCCATCTCTGCATACGGCTTGTGCAGAATTTCCTCAACGATGTCCATGTCGTTGTGTGATCTATCAATGAATCAATAACTTATTGAAAATTATTGCGTGCTCGTGCTTGTTAGCTGTATACTCGTCAACACTGTAATCACTTTGACTTGAATGTTGAGAGACATCCGGGCTTTATACTCTGGCAGCGGCTTGCAATGCGGCGCGCAGGTAATAATGAAGATGATTATAATTAAGGTTGCAAGGTCTGAGTTTTTGTTTTTAATTCCCTGCCTCCGAGGGATGTTTCTTTCTAAAACACTTCTTCTTTTCGCTGGTTAGTTTTGAAAATTTCTCTTCGTAGAAAATTATTTTAGCAGTTGTTATTTATGAAAAAGGACTTTTTTCACAGTTATTATGAGGGCGCACATTTTCACTGGCCTTCACATTGTCTGCGATGCAAATGTATGTATGTGTATTAGTTTCTATTTTTTCGTCTATCCTTGTTACATTTATTTCATTTTACTCATTGTTTACGCCTAATTAAGCATGAATGTGGTTAATTGAGTACAGAATTTTAAGTGGAATTTTATGTTTTTAGCCATCAATAGAAACTATGCAACAATAAAGTTTCTCAGGCGGAAAATGTAATAGCAGGCGCTGTACATAGGAAGCTGCCACATTATTACCTGTATGCATGAGTTGTATAAGTTGATATACTAGTTACATACGTACATGGTCTACTGTTGCCACAAGAAAAAAAGATAAAATTATTTCAATAAATATACATCTACATAAT